CGATTTGATTCAGCGATCGAAACACAAAGTCCGAAGGTTGCTTGATGAAGTTCACCCAGAAACGAAGCGCGGGCCTGTGAGAGAAGAGAGAGAGAGAGAGAGAGAGATCAGTGTTAGAAACAAAATTAACATTAGTCATCACACTAGAACATTAACGTATCTAAACATTACGTCTCAACTATTTTGCCGGGCCGGACACCCTTCATACACCTGTGTTACCGCGTATCATCATAACTTCCACCAAACGTGTCTTTCAACGGTCTACGAGAAATCTTAGAAGTTAAAACTAACCGCAGAAGATTAGATTTCTCTTTGACAATACTCCTCGAAGATCACAACACTTGAACTGGCGGCTACGACCGAACACAGCTCGCTCCACAGTAGAGAGTTAAACCTAGAACAAAACCCCTGCTAGGGCCGCAACGTACCCGACCGCTCTACTACTCGCGGCCTACGCCACGAAACACACGCTCCTGCACACACGTCAGAGGAGTTAAACCTATAGAACAAACCCCCGCTACAGCCGACCAGTACCCAACGCTCTACTACCTGGCGGCTAACGACACGACACACAGCTCCTCACACAGCTAAGAAGGAGTTAAACACTAGCAACAAAACCCCTGCCTAAGGCCGACCAGATACCCAGCTCTACTACTGGTCGGCTACGCCAGAACACCAGCTCCTCACACACGAGTAGAGGCAGTTAAACCTCAGAACAAACCCCCGCTACGCGAACCAGATCGCGCAACGGCTCTCGACTACTGGCGGCTACGCCACGAACAACAGTCTCCTCAAACAGCAGTGAGAGAGTTTAAACCCTAGAACAACCCCCGCTAGCGGCGCGACCAGTTTACCACGCTGCTACTACTGGCGGCTACGCCCACGAACACAGCTCCCACACAGTAGAAGGAGTTTAAGACCTAGAACAAACCCCGCTACGCCGACCATACCCCACGCTACTAACTACCTGGCGGCTACCGCACGAACACAGCTCGCTCACACAGTACGAGGAGTTAACCGTAGAACAAACCGCCCGGCGTACCGCCGACGCCAGTACCCCCCCGCTCTATACTAGCTGGCGGCTACGCCACGAACACAGCTCCTCACACGAGGTAGAGGAGATTAAACCTAGAACAAACCCCGCTACGCGAGCCGCCAGGTACCACACGGCTCTACTAGCTGGCTACCGACACGAACACAAGCTCCCTCACACAGATGAGGAGTTAAACTAGAACAAACTACGCCCCGCTACGCCGACCAGTACCCCACCGCTCTACCTACTGGCGGCTACGACACGAAGCACCGCTCCTCACACAGTAGACGGATTAAACCTAGAAGAACAACCTGCAACGCCGACCAGCTACCAGCCGCTCTATCTTACGGCGGCTACGACACGAACACAGCTTCCCTCACACGTAGAGAGTTTAAAACCTAGAACAGAACCCCCGCTACGCCGGCCAGTACCCACGCTCTACTACTCGAGCGGCTACGACACGAAACACAGCTCCTCACACAGTAGAGGACGTTAAACCTAGGAACAAACCCCTGCTACGGCCCGACCATACCCACGCTCTACTACTGGCGGCTACGCCACGAACACCAGCTCCCACACAGTTTAGAGGAGTTAAACTAGACGAACCGCCCAGCTCACGCACGACGCAGTACCACGCTCTACTACTGGCGGCTACGCCAGCCGAACACAGCCTCCTCCAACAGTAGAGGAGTTAAACCATAGAACAACCATCCGCGCTACGCCCGGCCAGTACCCACCATCTACTACTGGCGGCTACGACACGAACACCCGCTCCTCACACAGTCAGAGGAGTTAAACCTAGAACAAACCCCGCTACGCGCGACCAGACCCACGTCTACCTACTCGGCGGCTACGCACCGAACACACGCTTGCCTCACACGCAGATAGAGGAGTTAAACCTACGAACAAAACCGCCGCTACGCCGACCATACCCACAGCTCTACTACTGGCGCTACGCCACGAAGCCAGCTCCTACACAGTAGAGAGTATAAACTAGAACAGAAACCCCGCTAGCCGCAGTACCCACGCTCTACTTCTGGCCGGCTACGCCAGAACCAGCTCCTCACACAGTAGAGGAGTTAAACTTAGAACAACCCCCGCTACGCCGACCAGTACGCACGCTTACACTGGGTGCGTTACGCCACGACAAGCACAGCTCCTCACACAGTAGAGGAGTCTAAAACCTCGAACAAACCCCCGCATACCGCCGACAGTACCCACGCCTATACTGGCGGCTAGCCACGAACACCAGTCTCTGCTCAGCACAGTAGCGAGTCATAACCACTCCTAGAACAACCCCCGCGCTTACGCGACCAGTACCGCACGCTCTACGCTTGGCGCTACGACACACGAACACAGACTCCTCACAACAGTAGAGGAGTTAAACTAGAACAAAACCCCGCACGCTACGCCGACCATGACCCACGCTCTACTACTGGCGGTACGACACGAACACGCTCCCACACAGTAGAGGAGTTTAAACCAGAACAAAACCACCCGCTACCGCCGACCAGTACGCAACGCCATTACTACTGGCGCTCCGCGCACGAACACAAGCTCGCTCACACAGTAGAGGAGTTAACACTAGAACCAACGCCCAGCTACGCCGACCAGTACCCAGCTCTACTACTGGCGCTACGCACAACACAGCTCTCACACAGTAGAGGAGTTAAACGCTAGAACAAACCCGCCGTACGCCGACCAGTACCCACGCTCTACTACTGGCGCCTACGCCACGAACGACAGCAGTCCTCACACAGTAGAGGAGTTAAACAGAACAAACCGCCCGCTACGCGGACCAAGTCCCAAGCTCCTACCTACTGGCGGCTACGCCACGAAACACAGCTCCTCAGCACAAGTAGAGGAGTTAAACCGTAGAACAAACCCCCGCTACACGCCGCACGCAGTACCCACGCTCCTACTACTGGCGGCTACCGACAGCGAACACAGCTTCCTCACACAGTAGAGGAGTTAAAGCTACGAACAAACGCCCGCCGTACGCCGACCATACCCACGCTCTACATACTGGCCGGCATACGACACGGAACACAGCTGCTCCACAGAGAGAGGAGATTAAACCTAGAACAAACCCCCGCCTACGCGACCAGTACCCACGCTCTAATACTGGCGGCTACGGGACAGCGAACACAGCGTGCCTCTCACAGCAGTAGAGGACGTTAAACATAGAACAAAACCCCCGCTACGCCGACCAGTACCCACCGTCTACTCACCTGTTCGCTGCTTGCGCACGCGTACGCTACGTCCGGATCGCACATCTGATGTCTCATGTTAATTATATTATTAATTATCACATTAATTAATGATAACTCTCGTTACCTGTTGCTCTTCCACGCGTACGCTACGTCTGGATCGCACATCTGATGTCTCATGGACTCTTCATCGAGGAAGTCAAACAGATACTTGACGGTGATCGGCAGAACCTTGTTCGCAGACAACACCGTCTGGAAGAAGTCGTCGACAAACTTCTGGATCGTTCCCTGCGAGAGACGAGCGAGAAAAATGTTAGAGACACAGTGTGAGACGTGAGGCGCTAGAGACACAGTGTGAGACGTGAGGCGTTAGAGACACAGTGTGAGACGTGAGGCGTTAGAGACACAGTGTGAGACGTGGACGATGAGGGCGTTAGAGACAGTCAGGTGTGAGACATGAGGCGTTAGAACACAGGTGTGAGACCATGAGGCGTTAGAGACATGAGACTTAAAAGATAGCGGTGGGGAGACTTAAAGGACGGCGGTCGGTGATGACGTGAGACGGGCGGAGCGCATTGATAGAGACACCACGTGTGTAGACATTGAGGCGTTAGAGATATGGAGAACGTTTAGTCAAGAGTAGGTGGGAGAGCGTTAATGACGCGGTCGATGACCGGTGAGACCGTGAGGCATGTAATCTCGAGACAGCAGTCGGACAAGTCAGGAGACAACCGTAGTTCCATCGGAGATAAGAAGGGAGCAAGGGAGGAATTAAGGAGTGCGATAAGATATGAGGAGGGAAAGGATTAGGAAAGGAAAGGGCGAATAAGTAGAAGAAGAGGTGAAGGAGGAAGAGGAGAGAGGAAGGAGAAGGAGGAAGAGGAAAGGAGGAGGAGGAGAAGAAGAGGAGAGGAGGAGAAGAGGTGAAAGAGGAGAAGGAGAGGAGGCGTCAGGAAGGAGGGTGGAGGAGAAGGAGGCGAAAAAGCCAGGGCAGACAGGCAGCGGACCCGGAAGGTAGGAGAAAGAGAGAGGCGAAAGGGAGGCGGGAGGAAGGAAGAGGAGCGAGGTGGACGGGGAGAAGGAGGAAGGGGAGGCAGGAGGAGGAGGAGGAGGAGGGCCGGACGGAGGGCAGGAGGAAGAGGAGGAGAGGAGGAGGATGTGAAAGAGGAGGAGGAGGAAGAGAAAGACAAGTAGGAGGAGGAGGAGACAGATGGAAGCTTCTCTCTCTTTACCTTCGTAGCTAGCAACCTTGTGAGAAAGATCTCCGATATGCACGACTTGTTGTGTGGATGCTTATCCTTGTAATGCTCATCCACCGGCTTCACCTGTTAACACAGAGGTCAGGTAAAGGTCAGCCGGAGGTCAGCCGAATGTCACCTCGTAATCTATTACTCGGGTTTGTTCACGGCCATGTTTAATATTATAAATTTTAGCCAGTGTTAATTATTTTAATTAATTATGTGTGATAATTATAAACCATTAATTAGATGTGATAATTATAGCAAATTTGAATAATAATACTTAGTTAACTTTAATAATTAAATCGGTTATCAATAACAGAACAAACAAATAAACAAAAAGTAAATAAATGTTTAGATTGACATTAATTCTCATCGCGCGACCTGCGCTCTCGAACCCCACCGCCAGGGGGCGCCGCGCCTCCTCCTCACTCACCAGGTGCCAGACCTTGGCGCTGGTCTTCTCCTCGTCGCTGTGCTGCTGCAGTATAGGAGTCGTGAGGCTCTTGGGGAAGCCGAGACTGTGCAGGTGGTTGAGAGTCGCTGAAAAGTAGACTGTCGTCCCAGCAACGTAAAAGCAGACGTACAGGCAGAAATAAATGAACGAACGATAAACTACTAACTATGCAAATCATTGTCGCACACCGAGCAAGCTGAGCGATAGAGAGAGAGAGGAAGGGAGGGGAGAGAGAGAGAGGAGGAGAGAAAGACAGAGAGAGAGAGAGAGAGAGAGAGAGAGAGAGAGAGAGAGAAGAGAGAGAGAGAGAGAGAGAGAGAGAG